AAAGAAAGAAAGAAAAAAAAAGAAAGAAACAACCCTCCTGTTTTTTTTTTTTTTTTTTTTTTCTTTCTTTTTCTTTTTTTTTTTCCAAAGGATCTGTCTCAGGAATTTAAAGCACATTTAAGACACACACACACTCACATAGCATAAGGAGGGGGGGAAAGCCTCTTCCCCTCCCCTTCTTGCAGAAAGCATGGAAGAAAGCTCCAGTTCTCCTGTTTCCCCTGTGGATAGCTTGGGGACCAGCGAAGAGGAGCTGGAGAGGCAGCCAAAGAGATTTGGCAGGAAGAGAAGATACAGTAAGAAATCCAGCGAAGATGGCAGCCCCAACCCAGGGAAGAGGGGGAAAAAGTCTAGCCCCAGCTCCCAGTCCTATGAAGAACTCCAGAGCCAGCGGATCCTGGCCAACGTCAGAGAGAGGCAGAGGACTCAGTCGCTCAACGAAGCCTTYGCAGCCTTGCGGAAAATCATCCCCACCTTGCCCTCCGACAAACTCAGCAAAATCCAGACCCTCAAGCTCGCCGCTCGGTATATAGACTTCCTCTACCAGGTGCTACAGAGCGACGAGATGGACAGTAAGATGACGAGCTGCAGCTACGTGGCCCACGAGCGGCTCAGCTACGCCTTCTCCGTGTGGAGGATGGAGGGCGCGTGGTCCATGTCGGCCTCCCACTAGCCACCGCCGGCGCACGCGAGCGAGCGAGGCGGCCGCCGGAGGGGTAGGTACCGCTGTCCCGCACCCCGGGGCTGCGGCACGCGGAGCCTTCGCGCCGGCGCGTGGGGCTGGGCGCCACGGGCGCGTTTGGGGATTGGGGGGGGACTGTGAAATTTGCCAGAAAGTGGTGCTTTGGGGAAGGATTTCTTAATTTTGTTCGGGAAAAAAATATATAAAAGAGGGATGGAAATGCCAAGGGTAGGAGAGCCTGCCAAAGGGATCCGGATCAGCTGCCCTAAGAAACCGAGTGTCGGGCACCCGCATCCTCGGCCGGCGGCCCCAGGGCGCTGGAGGGGGACCCGGTCCCCTCTCTGCTGCCTTCCCTTCGAGGACACGGGCTCTGYGGGCACAAAAAGCGACCAGAGGCAGCAGAAACCCCCCGTCCTGTTTCCGTCCCCTGCAGTTTCCCTTCCCCAAAGGCTCTGCTAGGCTGCACTGGGTTTCGGCTTTACTCCGAGCGCTCGGCTCTTCCTCATCCTTTTCCACTGCCGGAAAGCGACTTCCTCTTGGGCTGCTGTTTTAATGTGCTGGGGGAAAAAAAGAGGGGGTGAAAAAAAAAGGCTATAAAGCAAAGATTTTAACGACACCTCCGGCTCGTTAGGCAGAGCAGCTCTGCAGTTCATCAGGCGGCGTTGCGCCCGGTGCCTGGCTGGGGCTCGCGCGTGGGGCAGGCGCCGGCGCCCCGTCCCACACGAGGAGCGCGGGTTGCAGCTGCGGCCCCGCTACCTCGAGCTCGCCTCTCGCAGCACAGCACACGGCGCAAAAACGAGGCGAGTTCCTCGTGCGGGGGCTCAGTGCCTTAAAGCCGAAAGGAAAATTCATCCCAGCCCATCGGCCGTTTTTATAGCGTGTGTTTTTTCACTTGTGAAGAGACAAATCCATCTTTGTTTGATCCAAAATAAACGGCCCCCGGTTAGGAGCCTTGACACAATAACCGGGGGTTATTTGAAAAAAGCCAAGAAGTGTTTGAAAAAAAAATAGAAAAAGGGACTTACTGCTGGTGTAAAATGCCAGGCTAAAAATTATTCTGGAAACCACTTAAACACATATTTTTCACTCGTGTCTTGAATCATTCTGCATTTTAGGGCTGCAATAAAAGTTTCTGTGCATTCTTCTAGGAAGTCCCCAAAAGTTTAGTTTAAGTAAGAATAATAATAGTAATTACTCTAGCCATTGCATGCTTTCAGGAAATTAAAACTGTCTGCTACTTTGTTTTGTTTAAATAGGTGACTCTGCTGGCATTACTAGCGTTTTTATGGGCATTTCTAGCATTACCATTTTCTTGCACCCCATGCCCTAATTTCAAGTGTAAAAAGACCAAGTCAAGCTGCTTTTCCGAGAGATAAACTCCCTGTTTATAAAACTTAGTGCCTTTTCCCATGCTAATCTGGCTAGAAAGGCTGCAGCAAACAGATTAAAAAAAATACACGCACACAAAACCCAGGCTTCTTGTCAAAAGACAGATGTAAAATGTCCCAAACACATATTTCTTCAGTAGTTTAGATTGGCCGCATACTAAAGTGCTGTGATGGAACAACGCATTTATTCTGTTGTTTCCTAAATGATGTGCTGCCATTAGCCTTAGCATTCATTTTTTTTTTATTATTTTTTAATCTATTATCTGATACATATCTGTTCTTCTGTTTCAGACAACACTTTAGGGGCAAAAACCTGCTTTTTTTTTTTTTTTTTTTTTTTCCTAAGCACTTTTCAGAGTCACTGTCAATGGGATTACAACCAACACTGTCCTGACAAGGTGGATGTTAAATGTGGACCCTGGGAGACAGCTCCTTCATAAAAGAAACTCGGGGCAATGTTTTGGGGCATGTGAAAGCCATGAAAGAGGGGCAGACCCRGACGTGCTTTCCGCCTGCCCGGTGGGAAATTGCTATTTGGTGCCTTTTCTGAAGCACAGCTCCCAACCCGCTGGATGGAGGTGTGTTTTCGCGGGGTGTTTGCCCTCCCGCTTAGGGAGCGGGGTGTCCCCTTGCGTCACCCCGAGCCCCCCGATGTGCCCCGCTCACCTCGTCGTCCTCGGCGCCCGGGCGCGCGTGCACCGCGCGTGCGGTCGCGCTGTTGAAAACGCTGTTGACAAATGGCCTGGTGCGGTGCGGTGGGGTGTCAAATTCTCTCGCCTATGGCAGTGGGAAGCGCGGCCGCCGGCGGGGGAAAAATGGGTGAGAAACGCACGGAAAGGGGTGAGCGGTGTCACGGGGGTGGCCGGTGCTTCTGCACCCAGCGGCGCCTTTGGGAGAGGGGATCTGACCCTGGCTGGGGTGGCAAAAAATCCTTTAGGAAGTGGTTGCGTGAATTCAGGAATTCCTGCGCTTCTTAGGCATCGGCAAATGCCATGAATTTGGGGTGCGTGCAAARCAATGGGGATTTCCTTGGGGTTTTTTTGGAAGGAAAGTGGCAAGGGAGGATTTCTCTTGGACGGGGCTGTCATTGCCATTCAGCCGAAAAATCAGAGCAGCTCTTTGAGTAGAAAAATCAGAGTCTGGGAACTGGTAAAACACTGCCCGACCTCCGGCAATGCTAGTAGGCAACTGGTGCTCACCTCTGTGCAGGCAGAAGCTTTCCTGTTCTGCCCTGGGTAGGTAAAGACGCCCTGAATCCTGCTGTTTCYAGAGGACAGGCACAACTCCTCACTTCCATTCGCGCACCAGGCGGTCAGATGCTCCAGCGAATGCCTCCCCGTGCTTCTTTTCCCCRTCTCTGCCTCCTCGCCTCCAGCACCTGCGCTCCTTGCCTCGYAGCCGCCCTTTCCATTCCCTTCCGTATGTTCAAATCCTCTCAGCTGCACAAATATCGGGATAACAGAAAACAGGGATTTTGTCTTGCCTTGTGCCCCGCACTAAGGAAAAGCCGCCTCTAATCAGGATGCCAGGGACGRCGGGCGTAAAAGCCGGCACCAGAAGGAGCAAAGCTGCGGAAGCGGCAGCAAAGCGCGAATAGTGACGGAGCACGAGACCGGCCGGGCCAGCAGAACCCGTTTTCCATTTGCGCTGCTGTCCGTAGGCTTTGCAAGGAGCTCTAGGCTTTCCATGAGCTGGTACTTGGGTAAATTTTGCCATCGTTCTGCCTTTGGGGAGGCGAGGGCAACGCACGCGTGCGGGATGCGGCGTTCCTAGAACCGTYCCTTAAGAGATCCAGGGCCTTTTCCAGAACAAAACATTAGCATCCTATTTCATTTTATCCTCAAAGAAGCAAACAGATGTTATCTTTGCTGGCCCTGGGAACAACCTAATTCTATAGTTTATGAGAGGACTAGAGTTAGCTGGGGGTGTTGTGACACTGGAAATAAGCCCTTTTTTTGTCCCCAAAGCCCTATTTTTTTATACGCATCCTTCGAAAATGTAAATATGCTTCCTTGACTGGAAGGATTGTAAAGTTTGGTATTTACATTAATAGGTTTATAGCATGGGTTTCTTTCTTTTTTTTTTTTTTCATCTCAGTGCATTTAAAAGCCCAGCAAAATGCATTTCGGATCTTCTGTTTACGTTCCTGTCTTTTCCTGGGAAAGGATAAATCTGTCGCACAGCGCACACCAAACGCGTAGCGCTCAGCCAGCAAAAGCTCGAGCTCAGAGACCCTTGAAAGAGAGGGTGCAAGGAAAATTCTCGAGAGGAAACCCAAATGCAAAAGGCAAATCCGCTATGGACTATAGGCACATAAACTGATTGCCGATCGGAGGCGGTTAGAGGCACGCATGGAGCCTGAAACGCTGGATCAGAACTAAAGGATCATGCAGAGGAGCGGCAGAAACATGTTGTTACTTAATGCGCCGCAGCCAGCGCGGTGGTAAAAGTCCTGTCGTGACAGATGTGCATTGAAGGGTCATTAAGGGAACAGTAAATGCATACATTTTAGCTAAGTAGACCTAATTTGTCTCCAAATTAGTCATCTCCACGCTGGTCGCCTGCGCGGAGCAGCTCCAATTCTAAGAGCTTGGGAGCTTCGGTGTTAAAATCAAAGGGATGGTTGCAGCTCCTTCTGAGCAGCCACTGCCCTTTGCATCCCTACGTATAGGGCGTCAGGTGTATTTTACACAGGCACAAGTAATGGTAATAAATTAGCCTTAAAGATCTACTACAGCTTCTTACAGAGCAGGGACAGACCCTGCAACCACAGCTGAAATCTCTTCTGGGGACATTCCTTGTCACTCTTTCCTCCTGGCAATGTAATTATTTTTATAGCCATACTTTCTGAGAATCATTTCCATGTGGTTCGGCAGGACTTTGAAATCCCCGAGCCTAAAGCCTGCAGAATTTATGCCTCGCTGCAAGCCTTAGGAGCAGTTTGATGAGGCCGTGAACATGTAAGGGAACGCCACGACAGCGCCGAGCACAAAGCAGGCTCCGCATGCAATCAGGGAGTTACAGCTGCTGCACGGGCAAAGCAAACATTTTTGGTAGCTTTTTTCCCCCCATCCAGGCTTCACAGAAGATTAAGGGCGGAGGGAGGGGAGGAAATGATTAAAAAAATACCGTGCCATGAAAAGTGTGCTGGGTCCGATCGGCTGCTGGCTTGGAGCAGCCCTGCTGGTAGTCACTGGCTGCTGGTCCCACCAGGCATCTCAGTGGGTCACTTGAAGAGGCTTGGAGAGCGCTGCACACCAGCGCTCCTGATTCACTTCTTGGATGCAAGGAAAAACACCACATCCTCCAGCTGCATCCTAACAGCATCGCGCTAATTAACCACTAGGTCTCAAGAATTAAACTGTAAAAATATTTGCCAGAGGGGAAAAAATAAAATAAAATAAAATAAAATAAAAGCCCTCTGGGCTTGTCAGAGATGACCGCTCAGCATCAACAGCTGATCACATACGAGTAGATTAACTCAGCCAGCCAGCAAGCCCCAGCACCACGGCCCTTAACCGTGCTCCTCATCTCCCTGTCCTTAACCGTGTCCCCCAGGGACCCGCAGCCCCCAAGAAGCCCCCAGCATTCACAGTGGGTCTCCCAGGCGGCATCGCCGTGGGGCTGCAGCACTGCTGCGTGAAGA